AGAAATACAGTATTACCTTCCTTGTAGAAATTACTGTGACAGCGATATCACTTTTGCAATGTTTATGACACTTTGCACTTGTGTAAGAAAGTATAACGAACAATAAGAAATATCCTCAAGAATTATTAAATATGCAAGAATAAGACTGCAATATATTATTGTTATTACTATTACTATTGCGATAAAAATAATCTTTCTGTAGACGATGCTTATATTTAAGTATACTCTTAGATATAATTAAAGTAAATAAATATATTCGTATCTCCGTGATATATATTAATCCATTTTGATTTAGTTTAAAATAAAGTATAAAATAAAATATTTGTAAAGTTAAAAAAATAAATTTGTCAGTTTGTTATATAACTGTTTAAACGCTTTTACTGAGAATAAATTCTATTGTAAACTCTAAAAAGAGATATCATATAATGTCGAAAATAAAAAAAAATTTGAAACAAACTATAATTGCATAAGTTGATTCTCACTGACCGGCTAGCGTTACGCAAACGCAAAATTCCTAATAAATTGTATCGTCATACATAGTTACTCTTTGTGAAAATTATAAAATCAGTTTTGGAAGATTAACTGTAGTCTTGAATAATAATATTTTCGTCATAAATTGTAATGGTTTAATCAGCTTTAATATTTGCTGAAAGATGACAATATTTTATTGAGAAAATTGCAATGTCTTCAGATTCATATTTTTTTTAACATGGAATATTATCTAATCTACGATAAAATTATCAATCGATAAGAGATGAAATTATGATATTTAAATTTTATTTTCAAACTTTTCTTCATATATACATACATACATAAATGTATAATACTTTATGTATTTCATTTGTAGTTTTTTTCAATTATTAATAACTTCATAATATTATAAGACAGAACAAGTAAAAAAAATAGAGTGTACAAAAAAAGTGAAAGCAGTTTGTATCGGACGACAATTGTGAAGTGGAAAGCGTCGTCTACAATGGGCAGTAGCAATAATGAATTAAAGAGTAGGCGGGGGTTAGGGGCTTTCTACAATAAGTCGTTAGTCACTCATATCATACTAACTAAGAATTGACCAATCGTAGTCGAATATTTTTCTTACGTTCAACAGTGATTAGTCAATTCTTACGGCTTTTTATGGCTTACGATCTGATAAACGACGTATTGTAGACTGCCCTTTATTAGGAATAAATTAACTGTAGGATTAAAGTCTCCTTATGTCCGAGTATCTACAACGACATATAAGTAAAGGTTATAATAAACCAATGTGAAAATTGCATCGGTTTTTATTGCGCGCGTTTCGTGTTATTGCTGAGCTCTCATTGGCTGAGAGCAAAAAAGTAGCCGTAGGAAATGAATTTCAACTATTTCGCTTAGGGACTTATTCTGCGCCCTATTACGTCGAAAAACCAGCTTACTCCGACGTGTTACTTCTTAATCTATTACTACCATTGCCCATTGTAGACGCCGTTGAACATTCAAGTGACATTACTACATTTCAGTAGTGTTTTTACTGCACTAAGTTATTTTTTACTAGGGAATGCTGTAAATTTGCAGTTTTTTTCGCCTAACATGCAATGTTAGACCGCTCTTTATGTTCTATTTTAATTATGTAGTAACATATATTGACTCATTTATTACATAATTGCAATTATATATAAGGCGTGTTTGGGGAGCACGCCGTCAGCGCTATCACGTTTTATCTTTAACATTCATTAGATGTAAGATAAGAATAGAATGACGCGATATAGCGCCGACAGGCATACTTCCCAGACGCGCCTATCGGAGAACTGTTGTCTGTTGAAAAACATTGTAAATTTGCAGTGCTAACGTCGATTCTTATTTTTTATTTTGATGAATAAATTGATTAAAACTTATATTAAAAAATGAATTCTTTACATTTAATACATTTTTTATTAGAAATTTTAGATAAGTATAATGTTAAATTTACAATTATTATTTATTAAATGTCTGATTATTGCTACGGCAATTAATACCAAATGGATGTGCGAAATATAATGTACTTTTATCGGAAGAATTAGCAGAAAATATTCACGAAATTAATAAAATTGTTTAGGATCGTAGCGTTCGTAGAAGTTCATTGTAAAAAGAATTATGTTTTTTCCCTTTAAATAATTATAAAAATTAATAAATCTAATATTTTGTTCGAAAGGGAACAAATATTTTTCTTACGTTCAACTGTGATTGGTCAATTCTTACAATTTACGGCTTACGATCTGATATACGACGTATACGTCTTCTTGGCGATTGACCGCAATTGAAATGGACCGCGAAAGGCTTGATGGATACAAAGGTCGGATCGAGATCTAACCGACAAAGGGAAAGGGGGGATAGGACATCGGCGCTGGATAGAAACAGGGATACGCTGGTACTGGTCGGCTGCACCGGCACCATGTTGGTGATATAGGTAGTGAGTTCAGTAGGCATGACTCTTGTGGAGAAGAAGGTGGTGTAGGCCGTTTTGGCGCCGAAGATGAGCTTTAGCACCCGCGAGTCGGATACGGTGACGAAAGTCTGGGTGACCAGGGGCGCACTCGTCATCGTGAATTGAGACTGCTGCGGGAACAGCTGCGGCACTTGCGGCTGCAGCATCGGGCTCAGGGTGGACGTGCCGTACTCGTAGGACATCCTGAAGAGAAATGCAATCAAAATTATAAATTATGTATTATAATAAAAAGTGTAAAATAATTTAATGAAATATGATAATATCTAAATATAATGAGAATAATTGAGATTTATTCAAAATATAATATAATAATAATGGAGCATAAAATACTTGCAATAGATCGACGCGTATAATTTATTAAATATTCT